TAGAAATTCAGTTTCCGCTCAATTACTTGAGTTTGCTTTGGCCTTTTGACACCAAACTTGATGAATGGGTAGCTTATATCAAGAGGCAGCTTGGGATTGCTACCCAGGTGTCTGTGATCAAGGTTAATGTATTTAGTTTTCATGTTATAACTTGTTTGCTTTGACCTTTTGACACCAAACTTGCTGAGTGGCAGCTTTGGATTGCTACTTAGATATCTGGGAGCAAGTTCAAGGTCATTTGCTTACAATAGAATTTTCAGCTTCTACCCAATAACTTCAGTGCACTTTGACCTATTGATTGCTGTCACATAAAAACTTGGCCGTTGAAAACCTGGTTTTCGTCGCATTGCGGCGCTTCTTGTTATGCCCCCGCCATGTAATGGCCGGGGCATATAGTGTTACCCTGTTCCGTCCTTCCGTCCTTCCGTCCTTCTGTCATTCCGTCATCATCAGTTTCCGTTCATTATCTTAAGAACGGTTGCACACATTCAACTCAAATTTGACATATGGATATGTCATGAGAAAATACAGATCAAGTTCGAATTTGGTCATGGTTCGATGATTTTTGGCAGAGTTATGCTTCTTTTACTTTGAAAATAATATGAAATTTCAGTTTCCGTTCATTATCTCCCCAACGGTACAACACATTCAACTCAAACTTGACATATGGATATGTCATGAGAAAATACAGGTCAAGTTCAAATTTGGTCATGGTTCGATGATTTTTGGCAGAGTTATGCCTCTTTTACTTTGAAAATAATATGAAATTTTTAGTTTCCGTTCATTATCTCCCCAACGGTACAACATATTCAACTCAAACTTGACATATGGATATGTCATGAGAAAATACAAGTCAAGGTCGAATTTGGTCGTGGTTCGATGATATTTGGCAGAGTTATGCCCCTTTTACTTTGAAAATAATATGAAATTTTCCGTTTCCGTTCATTATCTCCCCAAAGGTACAACACATTCAACTCAAACTTGACATATGGATGAGTCAAAGGAATGTGCAGGTCAAGTTCAAACTTGGTCATGGTTCAATGATTTTTGGCAGAGTTATGCCCCTTTCACTTTGAAAGTAATATGAAATTTTCAGTTTCCCTTTATTATCTCCCCAATGGTACAACACATTCAACTCAAATTTGACATATGGATATGTTTTTGGAATGCCCAGGCCAAGTTCGAGTTTGGTCATGGTTCAATGATTTTTGGCAGAGTAATGCTCCTTTCACTTTGAAAATAATATGAAATTTACAGTTTCTGTTCATTATCTACCCAACATTGTTACATATTCAACTTAAATTTGACATATGGATATGTCAAAGGAATGGGCAGGTCAAGTTGGAATTTGGTCATGGTTTGATGATTTTTTGGCAGAGTTATGTCCCTTTCACTTTGAAAATAATATAGATACATCTTAGGAATAAGCAGTTTAAGTTTGAATTTGGTTGTTAAGTTCAATGATTTAAGACAAACTTATCTTTCCTGAATGTTGGAAAAATTTTGAACTTTCACTTTCAGCACTCTTACTTTTAGCCATTATTTTGGCTACAAATATGCAATATGCTATTTTTAAAAGGTTTAGACTGAATAATTTCAGTGCCTTGAACATTGTATGAAAATGGTTTGTGTTAACATTGAAAAGTTTTAAGGGCTTTGAACTTAAAATGAAAAAAATAATTAAAGCACCATCTGAAATTTTGGCTGCATGCGGGGGCATCCGTGGCATGATGACACATTTCTAGTTTTTTAGTTATGCTCCGGATAAGATTGAAAAATTATTAAGGGGAAATAAGTCTAAAATTATGCAAAGGAGAGTTATGGTTCAACATGCTGAAAGTTATGACAAATGTTTAGTTTAAACTTATTTATTTAAGGAAGATTGTGAAGCAAGTTCTCACAACTTATTCAAATCACCCTCGAGTTCACTTCCTGGAACCAACCAGTATTGGTGTCATATGAGAAATCATGGTCGTGACCCGTGTGGAGTTCGAACCCACAATCCCGAGGTTGCGAGGCGGACACCTTAACCATTACACCACCACTCCAAATGTTTAAGTTTTTTCCAATGAGAACGGCACAGACACAAAATTGCTAACGGATAAACAACCAGGTGCTTAACATTATACACCAAAAGTGATGATAAATGTTGGAAGTTTTCAGATGGGAACAGCAAGGAACGCCATGACTGTAGCAATACAATACAGTCAAGACTGCCTTAGCGACCCCCTGATTTTCAACAACTCCCTGTCTTATCCGACCTTGTTTCAGTCCTCACAACGTATTTTCCTATATAAATGGTCTGAATTATACGACTCCCTGCCATATGTGACAAGCGACCCTAATTGCCTGGTCCCAATGCATTGCTTTGTCTGATTTAAACGACTTTCACACCTTTTAATTGCACGTTAATCAGATAAATAATACCTGTTTTAACACCCAGAGGGCCAAAATAAGTATGTCCAATTACTATCTAGCAGTCAGTACTTTACCCCTGCGAGGAATTCAAGAAACCATTCTAGAACTTACTTGAACTGAGGTTCTTGAACAGTTCATGAACATTAAATGGCTGTTCTAGAACTCGGAAGTTCAATAACTATTTCTAGAACTAGATCTAGAACTTCTGGGAAATTGATCTTGAACAATTCTTGAACTTGGTAGTCCTAGAACACCCACTTATTGTTCACGAACATTTCAAGAACTAGGTTCAAGAACCGTTGATAAATTACTTTAAAAATTATATAGTAAAATTATGCATTTGATTTTCATCTTGAACAATAATTCAAGAATAAATTCAAGAAATTTTATGTTCCAAGAAAATTTATGTTGTCATGTCTGGAAAGTTCCAGGCAGCATAATTATGCTTGCCATTCAGTAAGAAATAATAACTATTGTGACAGAAACCATTTTTTTTTTCACCAAAATAAATGTTTATCAACCCTTGACAGTATAAGTCACTGTTTTTAGCCCTGCGCAGCATTTTCTGCTGATTCTCAAACTTCTTATAGAATGTGGCTTTGTCAAATGGTGTGACTTTCATTATGACTGTCTCTAGAATATTGAATTTGATTGGGTCAAGCGATGGCTTTACATTGTCCATTGCCTTTGCAGTTCGCTTTCCCGTTCGTGTTGAATTGATCATATCTTCCTCTGTGAAGATCTGAAGGCATAGATGTTTCATTACATTCTGGTCACCAACAACACCTTTGACATATTTTATAAGAGTTTCTTCATCCAGTAATGACTTTTCTACATCTTCAGTTGGCTATTGTTCATTTCTTGGCATACATTCCTTTTTGGCTGTTGGTGTCCATTGCCCTACAGCCTGACTGGCCTGAGGACTGGCTGGAGTCTGACTGGTCCGAGGACTGGCTGGAGTCTGACTGGCCTGAGGACTTGCTGGAGTCTGACTGGTATGAGGACTGGCTGGAGTTAGACTGGTCTTGAGAGCTAGCTACAGAAATATTTCTTTCCAGCTGACACACCCTCTCTTTCAGTTTTCTGTTTTTCCTCCGCAGGGACTTTACATCTTCGCCGATGATGATGTCCAAATTTTCACAATTCATCTGCTACAACCAAGTGTATATAATTATATTCATATATTCCATGAAAATCATACATGTATTAAAATAAAAAGAAAAAAACGGCTACCCTCCGACCCACTCCTTGTAACCCTGGGTCGGCATTAGCTAACAGATGTACTTTTAAGGTTGGCCTTGGTTAAATGCAAATGAAACATGTGCCATATTCTTACCTATGTAATTAAAAAAAGTATTGAATAAGAACAAGAAAATTTATTGCATCATTTAAAGCCCTTGAATTTGCAATACTAACAATTTGCTGGAACCAAATCTTTTTGTTGGTGCCAGTGCAGCCATTAGTCTAGGAATAAATCAAACATCATTCAGGTCTAGGAGATACTAAAAAGTATCAGTCTGTCATCCTCTGAAATTTTGGGATATCAGATTTGAACTATGACTTCTCAAGTGACAAGCCTATCTACTAGGCCATCGCACCATAGGAACCTGAAATTCTGACCAAAAAAAAAAACAATTAAAAAAAAAAATCCCATGTATATGCTATAAAAAAACACAAGGCAGGCAACAACATTTCCCCACCCACCGCTACATTTAAAAGGAATATTCGTAAAAACACCTGGAATTTACTTCCGAGCACACTTAATCAATAAAGCACATTAAAATCTATCAGAAACACTGCTAACTCTTATCAACTATCCAACTTTTACGCCAATTGAATGAATTTATCACTGCTCTTCTCCCATCGTTGGTTCCATTGCCAGTTCTAGTGATATACACCGTCATACCGTTATTAACCGGTCTTTGTAGATCCCGAAATTCTATCCAAAACAAAAAAAGAATGATTTAAATAAAAATCCCATATTATACATACTATTAAATATATGGGATTTTTATTTTAAATCATTCTTTTTTTGTTTTGGATAGAATTTCGGTCAATAACGGTATGATGGAGTTTATTGCTAGAACTGGCAATGGAACCGACGATGGGAGAAGAGCAGTGATAAATTCATTCAATTGGCATAAAAGTTGGATAGTTGATAAGAGTCTCAGTAAGCAGTGTTTCTGATAGATTTTAATGTACTTTATTGATTAAGTGTGCTCCGAAGTTAATTCCAGGCGTTTTTACGAATATTCCTTGCAAATGTAGCGGTGGTTGGGAAAATGTTGTTGCCTTTCTTATGTTTTTTATAGCATATATGGGGGGATAATTTTTGGATAGAATTTCAGGTTCCAGTAATTGCACTAACCATATTCCCATATAAATATGGAAATGCCAAATTTATTTGACTAAGATGGCAGTATCAGTCATTGCGTTTGTTTACCTCCCGTAATACTCCAGTTCCTGATACAACCCTTTTTCAATCGCTATACTTTAATTCCCCTCCAAACCTTTTTTTTTTTTTTTTTTTTTTTTCATAAAAAAAGTTGCATCAGGGTCTTGGAGGTGGGGGTGTGGTAAATTAATTAAACACCGATACTGCCACTTATGTTAAATATCTGTTACTGCAGACTATCGTGGCCTGTCGCAAAATAGCTCAGTACCTAATGTTTATAGTAAATTATATTTGAGTATTCTATATATAAAATCTCAACCGGACAATCATTCTGCAAACTGCATTTGCCGCGCAGTCTTTGCAAAGCATTGACTTACTTGCAATTAAAATGGCTGGATACGTTTTGCCCTTGAACTTCACTTGAGTTTTGGATCCTATTGTAGCCCCCGTCTCTATTGCTGAATTCTGTACCAATGACCAGACACTTTTTTCTGGCCAGAAAACAAGATTTGTCTCCGATGCTGACATGTTTTTTCGAACGTCTTCCCGCAAATTAAACTCAATGCGCACGCGTCAGAAACCATGTGGTTTCTCAATCGCAACTTTTCGGCCCTTTCCGTCAGTCTTATAGATAATGTTCCGATTGGTGCTTTCTTCCCGGACTACGGCGGAAAAACATGAATATTTTTGGGTAGGTATAGCCGACGTCGAATCAGCCAGGTAAACAGGTGAGTAACTTGTATAGCCGACGTCGAATCAGCCAGATAAACAGGTGAGTAACTTGTATTTCTTAAAAAATACATTGATGTTATCAATCTTTGGTCTATTTTGTAAAAAAAAAAAAAAAAAAAAAAAGATATCGTTACGTTATCTCGGACATGATATTACTCACGTAGCTGTGCAATGTTATCCGTATAGAAACAAAACTGGAAGCACACAAGTTTCATTTTGTTGTTCAATAAGTAATTTAGCACTCGCAGACACTGGTAAAAGTGATATTTATTTGAATTTAATTTAATGTGATTCAACATCTCGAAATATAAAAAGATTGAAAAAAGAATACAAGATCTCAAGTCACAGAAAACTAGTACGTTTAGTAATTTCGGCCCAAAAACGTTTTGGCCCCAAATTACCCAAGACGTTTCGTCGCTTTACCAAAACTGTCATTTTTGTTCATAAAGTCTTACCTTTATGTATTTTAAAAACATTACATTAAATTAATAAGTAAATAAATGAATGGCAAACGTATAATAGTGCCTCATACTGTCATACAGAGCTCTCGTTTGACATGGGACACGTGAAAATCCGGAAAATTTATGAACACATTTGACAGGTGATAACATATGCACTAGAGTCAGTTTGCCACATGGGATTTTCAGCTATGCAATAATAATTACCTTAAATCCACCCCTAATTACCTATCAAATCCTACATTTGTTCAAATCACACTCAATAAAAATGTCACTGTGTATTCCACACAACATTGTTTATAGCATGTGCACTGAATCGTGACATCAGTGGATGTAATTTGACAGCGCTAAAATAGCTCTACACAACTGATAATAATTACATACTTGAGATGTTTATTATTTTACAATATGTCTTTGACTTACTTGGAGTACCTGTACATTTGTTATTTCTTTTCCATTGAATAGTCCTAGTACATTTTTGACTTTGACTTGTAAAATTCTGACACTACTGAGAGCCCTGTTCTTACTTATACCATAATAAATGACAGAGGCATCTGTTCAGAAAGGTGATATCTTTCCCGTGGCTTTCATTCCATCGGGTGCAGGGGAGAGACATGCATTTTTTTACAAAAAAACATCTAGTTATACCATTGTTTTAACTGCTTCGGTTATTCTTTTACTATCCTGTTAATTTTTCAGATGAATTCATCAAAGAAAGACTGTTGTGATGTTGTGAAAATTGGGAAAAAGACTTATTTCAGATGTACTCTTTGTGGAGCTCACCGTTCTACTAAAAACAGGGTTTTTTCACATCTGGTGGATTGTCATTCCTTAAGTAAGTGTAACCTCACTGTCAAGGTAAACTGGTACTCTGGACAGGCCATGTTTTGTAAAGTTTTGTCAAGAAAATGGACAAGAACTGTAACCTTGTTATTCCTCCCATAAGTTATTGCTCTTCTTTATTTTCATACATGTACTTCATTTTTTTCTCTGGATTGTAAGTTAATTTAAATATCAAGGGTATTGTCATGAAACTTGATACATGAACAGAACCCTGAGTCTAAGTGTGGAGAAGTACAATATACAAGAACTATTACTCTTAATTTCTAGATTTAGAAAGACAAATTCACATGGGTAATTATACCCCCACAAACGAAGTTTAGGGGGGGTATATAGGAGTCAGCTTGTCGGTCGGTCGGTTGGTCGGTCGGTCCGTCCGTCGGTCGGTCCACATCATGGTTTCCGGACGATAACTAGAGTTTGGAATGAGGTATTGTAATCAAACTTGGTATATAGCAACCTTATGTGGAAACTCCGGTTGGTATTGCATTTCGACCCCCTGGGGTCAAGGTCAAAGTCACCGTTACTAAAAATAGAAAAATGGTTTACGGACAATAACTAGAGTTAGGAATGAGATATTGTTATCAAACTTGGCGTAAAGCAAGCTTATATGAAGACCTGGGTTGGTATTGCATTTGGGCCCTCTGGGGTCAAGGTCAAGGTCACCGTTACTAAAAATAGAAAAATGGTTTCCGGACAATAACTTGACTTAGGAATGAGATACTGTAATCAAACTTGGTGTATAGCAAGCTTATATGAAGACCTGGGTTGGTATTGCATTTGGGCCCTCTGGGGTCAAGGTCAAGGTCACCGTTACTAAAAATAGAAAAATGGTTTCCGGACAATAACTTGACTTAGGAATGAGATACTGTAATCAAACTTGGTGTATAGCAAGCTTATATGAAGACCTGTGTTGGTATTGCATTTGGACCCCCTAGGGTCAAGGTCACCGTTACAGTGTTACTAAAAATAGAAAAATGGTTTCCGGACAATAACTAGAGTTAGGAATGAGGTATTGTTATCAAACTTGGCGTATAGCAAGCTTATATGAAGACTTTGGTTGGTATTGCATTTGGGCCCCCTGGGGTCAAGGTCACCATTACGAATAAATAGAAAAATGGTTTTCGGACAATAACTAGAGTTAGGAATGAGATATTGTAATCTTATTTGGTGTATAGGAAGCTTATATGAAGACCTGGGTTGGTATTGCATTTGGACCCCCTAGGGTCAAGGTCACCGTTACAGTGTTACTAAAAATAGAAAAATGGTTTCCGGACAATAACTAGAGTTAGGAATGAGATATTGTAATCAAACTTGGTGTATAGCAAGCTTATTTCGAGACCCCAGTTGTGATTACAATTAATTGAAATATTTCTTTGTACACAGTTGATAGTTTGTGTTCAAATTTTTCTTCAGACAACTTTTTTTTCAAAAAGTTGCTGGTGGGGGTATTAATCACCTTCAGTGATAGGTCTAGTTTTGGTTGGAAGTGTAGAATTATGTTTACAATCAAATCATAAAAAGTTCATTTAATCTTCCAGTTTTGATCACAGGCATGAGTATCTGACATTCTTTATTTTTTTATTTAAGGCCTGTTATGATATATTCAAACATTTTAATCAGTCTGGGTCTTTTGATTGATCTCAGGTCTGATACTGAGTATTTTTAAGCTATGATTATCACCTTGTATCACAATTATACAACATTGAATTATTTTTAGGTCCAGCTAAGCCAGTTTACAAACTATACAATAGAGATCCGAGTGTGCCTGTTCAAAAAGAACCTAACTTCCAGACAAGTACTTGTGCCTGATCAGGGTAATTTATAACATATTTTTTTTTACAAATACATAGCCAGTCAAGTAAGATAATTGATTAAATATTGTACTGGGTATGAGTCACACAATATACCTTTCTTTGGTAATATTTTTTGAACATTGTGATTTTTGTGTAGTGCAAGTAATAGGATTAAACAATTATTCACCATCAGAAAATATTACAAATTACTGACTAGTTAAACTTTGAACATGCGCAAATATTTCTTCTTTTGATCTGTCGCTAGTTGCCAATTCGCATACTTTTCATCATACCAAAATGAAATAATGATCCACTTATACAGTATTTCTGTTAAGGGACAACAGATTGATCCTTGGATGGTCTCCTACCAAAGTTGTCCTACATATGGTTTTGGTTTGTTGCATAATAAGGTCACAGTCAGATTTCACAAATCTTGTCCACAGCCAAAATGCCCAAAACTTTCACATTTGACATGCATCAGCATTTAGAGTTCTTCTTCTAACCAAACATAGCATTGCTGTGATGTGTATTTAAGTCTATTATAATGTATATATTCATTCTTACAGTTCCAAAAGCAGAAATCACAGATGAAAATCTGGCCCTACTGTCTTCAGAATAGGAAACAGAAGAATCGTCTCAGAATAAAGAAACATTTCATATTGAAAATTTTATTAGTAATATTACAGCACATGAAACTTTTCGTGAAAATCGTATCCTTATCGATAACAATGAAAATGGAAATTTGTTGACTGATGAAACAGAATCAATGCAGTCTTTAATGGAAATTGGTGATGTGCTGGATAATACAGATTCTGTAAGTTCTGATACAGATTCTGTAAGTTCTGATGCCAGTAGTGTAAACAATGAACAGTGTGAGTCTGCTCAGTGCATTAATAAGGAAAAAGATTATTCATTAGCGTTCCTTTCATTTGCCATGAAATACAATTTGGCTGGAAACTGCATTGATGACTTGATACTTTTACATAAGTCAACAAATCCACAATCAAAATCGTGGCTTCCAAATAATTATAAACAACTATTAGAAAAAACTGTGCTTTCTGGACATCAGGATTATTATAGTCAACACCACTATTGTATGAAATGCTTCAAACTTTTCCAGCTGACGATCCAAATGAATATACACATGGGTGTGACGGACTTCGATATATGGGGCCAGAGAATGTCCAGTTAGATAAGACAAGAAAACATTATTTGTAAATAAGTATTAGGGCGGTATTTTTATAATAGAAGGTCAATTCATTTAGAAGTACTTGTTCAAGGTAATAAAAAAATATAGATTGACAAATACATCAGTGTGTTAGTTTTCTGTCAGGGACAAAATATAATACATGTCTTATATTTTTAAAGCAGCTTTAAAGGAGAATTGAAGGAAAAATTATATAGATGTAGTTCAAGCCATTATATTATCAAATGAAAAAAACATGTTATGGTCTTCATTTATTTGGATATCCATGATATGCTGTCATTTTAACTATGATTATTACCATGGTCAAAACATTTCTTTTGCTTTGACTATGATGATCCATGATATGGACATGTTCATAACATGGTCATACCACAACCATTTCATAGTCCCCAATTTCTGTAATTGCATATCAAGGTCATATCATTGGCAACCATGGTGTAACCATGGTCGGCATTGATATGGATGTGGTCATTTCCGCAGGGTAGCTGCGACACATATGTGGTAGACATTTGTGCCAAGTTATTTTATAATCCTTTCATGCATGAAAACGTTACAGTCCAGACATGAATGTGTATCTTCCTCTCTTCTTGAGAGAATGAGTACCTTCAAACTGTGTGACCTTGACGGTAGGGGCATGGGTCTTTGTAGCGACATTCGTCTTGATGTGGTAGACATTTATGCCTAGTTATTTTAAAATCTTTCGATGCATTGTATGATGATATAGTTACAGCCAGGCCATGAATGTGTGTACCTTTTAATTCTAATTAAGAAACTCAAAAATGTTAGTGTGACCTTGATCTTTGAGGTAGAGACGTAATTCTTGGCTGCGACACAGTCTTGATGTGGTAGACATTTATGCGTAGTATTTTAAATCATTCGATGCATGACAAAGTTACAGTCCGGACACGAATGTGTGTACCTATTTACTCTAATTGCGATAATGAGAAACTTCAAAATGATAGTGTGACCTTGACCTTTGAGGTAGGGATGTGTTTCTTGGACGCGACACATTGTCTTGTCTTGAGAGAATGAGTACCTTCAAACTGTGTGACCTTGACGGTAGGGGCATGGGTCTTTGTAGCGACATTCGTCTTGATGTGGTAGACATTTGTGCCAAATTATTTTAAAATCAGTCCAGACATGAATGAAGTGGGACAGACAGACGGTGTGATTATATTATGTTTCCCTTTCGGGGCATATAAAAAAATGTATCACATGTTCACATGTATAAAAGACAATTTGATAAAGAGATGTTTTCCTTGAAACAAATAGCTTTTAAAGAAGTTTTGTTATATGAACATAATATGAACCCCTGTGGTGGGGCCAATTTAGATTTCAATTTTTAACACTAGTGCAAAATTTGAACGATTTGGTAGACTTATAGAAGATACTATATACCAAATATTAAAGGTTTAGGCCTTGCATCTTTAGACAATTATTTTTTATAGTTACTGTATGTACATAATAAAAATAGATGTTTTTGACTCCGGCTAAAACATAAAAATAAAATTCGTAGAGGTCCAACAGGCAATGCGGTATTCAAAATATCTAAGCTCTAGGCCCTGTGGGTCTTAAACTGAAGTTGTTTTTTTATCCCCCGCTGAAAAGGCGGCGGGGGATATAGAAATAGTCTCCGTCCGTCCGACCTTCCGTCCGACATTTTTGTCCGGAGCATATCTCTAAAAGTATTTTAGTTATCAACTTGAAACTTCATAGATGGATAGACCTCATTGAGGAGGAGTGCAGTGCACAAGAATGATAACTCTACCCTGCATAATTTTTGAGTTATTGCCCTTTGTTATTTTTCAAAATTGATTTTTGTACAGAGCATAACTCCAAAAGCCTATGAGATATCAACATGAAACTTCATAGGTGCATATATCTCACTCAGGAGGTGTGAAGTGCACAAGAATGATAACTCTACCTTTCATAATTTTTGAGTTATTGCCCTTTGTTTTTTTTCATACTTAATTTTTCACCTGAGTGGAGCAAAACTCAAAATGTTTTTGAGATATCAACATGAAATGTCATAGTTGGATAGATCTTATTGAGGAGGAATGTTGTGCGCAAGAATGATAACTCTTCCCTATACAATGTTTTTGAGTTATTGCCCTTTGTTCTTTTTCATGCTATTTTGTCCAGAGCTTATCTCAAAAAGTATTTGAGGTATCAACTTGAAACTGCATAGGTGAATGGATCTCATTGAGGAGGAGTGCATTGTACAAGAATGATAACTCTAAATATTTTTTTATCCAGAGCATAACTCAATAGGCCTTTGAGATATCATTATGAAACTTCATAGGTGCATAGATCTCATTTAGGAGGTGTGCAGTACACAAGAATGATAACTCTACCTTTTATATTTTTTGAGTTATTGCCCTTTGTTATTTTTCATACTTAATTTTTCAATTCAATTTTTTTGTCAAAAAGTATTTGAGGTATCAACTTGAAACTTCATAGGTGGATAGATTTTACTGAGGAGGGATGCAGCACACAAGAATGATAACCTACCCTGCATTATTTTTCAGTTATTGCCCTTTGTTATTTTCAGCCATCAGTATTCACATAGGTTTCAAATCTGTAATCACTATAGCCATCAGTTTTCATTACCAAAAGACCTCTTAAAATGGAATTATTCTGCTGTACTACATATACATTCTTCCAATGAGCAAACACATTCGGCGGGGGATGGCCATGTTGACATGGCTCTTGTAATTTCTTTTTATCTTTTTGTTGAAATGGCAACCTTCATGGAATAAAATTCTGAGCATTTTGGAAGCACTTTATGTAAGGAATAATCCTGCAGAGTTTGGTTGAATGAAGTTTTTCAGAAAGATTTTATTTTAAGTTCAGGCACAACACAAACAGGAAATCGCTATATGCCACTTCATTGCAGATGCTGCGTTGGCATAAAAATCAATTATGATACAAATATATTTCTGTATCGGTATCAAAAAAACACATTTAAGTTAAAAAAATTGCACCTCATAATATCCCTGTGACCATAACAAGACCATTTTAGAGAACAATTTGACAAATCCTACAGAAACATAAATGGTAAGTGCAAAATCTATATAATATATAAAGTAAAATTATAAGTTCAAAGAGGAAATAACTCTTGAAATGAAAATGCTGAAGTAACTATTCTTGTCGTTGATAATGTAAGGAATGAAAATGAAAAATAATTCTTATCTTAATTGTACAGTAGATTCAACTTTTATTTAAAAGGAATATTTTAGAAGTCCCAGTTAAATCAATGAATAAATAAAGAAGCTACAGCAAAAAGTTAAACAGGACTGTAAGATATATATTTACGCTACTTTACAGTCATATATTTACGCTACAGTTAATGAAGGAGTGAGATCAAGACAATATTTATAAAAACTCTTAGTTCAAGACAAGATAATTCTGAAACAGAAATAAAGAGTTTTGTCACACATCATAGCGAGTATATGGCACATTTGTCAGTATGTAGCACTCATCATGTTGCTGCTATGGCACTAAGAATTCTATCCCCACTACAAACGACATCAAGCTTAAAGGACCCATTGGCCATGATGTCTTCATCACTTTCCAGTGATAAGGCCGACAGTAAAATACAAAGTTCAATCTGTAGCGTACTTTCATCATCTAAGAAGAGTTCTGCCTCTGTGTCGTCGATACAGATTCCTTCAACTGTCACAACTTTCTTTACTTCTGGAATTTCTGACTTCTACAAAGAAATGAACAAAAACATCTTTAATTGGTATATGTTTACAATTAATCACAGTCTAACAGTAACATGGAGATCGAGATTCAACGACATTGGGAATGAATGGTTTATCCCTACATAGTTGCACACCTTTATGAAAAGGAAATTCTTCAATGTCTTGATATATTTGATGTCCAGGCAACACTGACAGTTAACAAGGCATTAATGATGACATTAAAAGTAACAAAATATCAATTTTGAATCCTTATTGTTCTCATATATCAATGTCAGTCAAACTGTCAAGATAGCATGCTGTGTTAATTATCCTCTGTTTTGGGTAATGACTACCGATAACTAATTCTTAACAATTTTCAAGTAAAAATGTACTTGCTTTAAAAAAAGTCCTTGGTTAACATCTGTGTATTGTCATATACAAAAGTTCATATTTTATGTTGATGTATTTCATATTTTGTGTTATCATTCTGCTTTCTAAGCAAATTGACAAATGTTTTAAGTAAAATAAGCAAATTGACAAATGCTTTCAGTAAAAAGTGACATAACTTCAAAAATATAGCAGTCTTCCATAAGTATTTTGTCATACTAAGCTTGTATTGATGTTATTACTTTTTAAAATGTTTGATTAATGGACAATATTAATGTTTTGCTTAACACCCACTAAAGTGCAGCTTTTACGATAAGGATTGCTCAAATTTGTTGGTTTTTTTGCTACTTTCTTGTCAATAGACTTAGTGGTCATTATACATGGCCGAGGAAAAAGAACTTGTTCTATTGACAATTACAGAGCCTCAAAACAATTTATAATGTAACACACAGACTTTCCTAATGATGTGTGCGTATTGTACGTTGAAACATAACATTTCATTGTATCAACTGTACATCAAAATTAATTTTGTCACACATCTTCTTTCAGTGTTATACAACTAAACAGAGAAATTGAATTTTCATTCAAAGTATACTCACTTTCACATTTGACCTACTCGTTGTTTGAAGTGAGGCCTGATTGTTGTAGATGTTGACTACAACATCTGTGACCTGTATGTAGTCACCAGGTCTAGTGTCCGCTGTAGCTAGGTCACGCCACAGGGTGATTTTTGCCGTCTCTGTGCTGTCTTTCAGCATTATTGTTTTTATTTTCACTTCTTCACCCCTGACACTCACAGTTTTAATTTCATCTTCCTGCAAATGTACATGTCTGTAATAATTGCAATTCTATCTAAGCAAATGTCGTCCCCAACACGTTTAAGTGCAATTTAAATATTAAATGTAAAATAGCAAATCAATCAAGTTTCCATGCCTAGTAATAATATTATGCTCATACAACAAATAATCAAAATATTAAAACTTCTCAAGATTAATTTGCATAATTAATGAAAGTGCTCTAGTTGAGCTTAAGGTATATAAAGTTATATATCTGATACAAATAATAATTGTTCGGATTGCAAAAAAGAAAGCTTCCAAAATGCTTGTATAAAATAAAATTGCCTGAGAGCTAAAGGGGCAATCACACAGTCATAGCTTCCTTAAAACTGTAAATGAAAAAATGATTTGTTCCGGAACATTTCATTCTGTTTACAACAGACATTTTATGTTTCAAATTTTTTCAGAAATCAACCATATAATAATGGAACTAAATAATTTTACTGTTGATAAGTATATAAATATATTTATTAAATGCTTTTCCGTGGTTTACAGAAATATATCAGTGAAAATAAAGTAAGTGAAATACCAGCAAGCACTGTACTGGGTACCAATTGATGATGTGACATCGTAAATGATGTCACGTTGTATTATTATTTGGCGTGCTTTTCATTCAGTAAAAGGATTAATGTCTTTTTAAAACGTTTCTTTGCATATATTATAATAAAAAGAAAATTTGTTAAGTTCAGTGTAAGATCGAAATATATTTCACCTTGTGAACACCAAAAGTTCATTTTATCACTCCTGGCTACGCCATTCGTGAAATATACATTTTGGTGCTCACCCATAAACATATTACGATCTTACACTGAACTAAACAAATACCCTCTATTTCATAAGATAAAGATTTATCCCCTTTAAAATAATGTACATAATCTCAATACTGCCATCTTGCCATATTTTAAGTATTATAAAATTTTCAGTACTTTGAGCAATTCAAAATATTGTTGTATCTCTCGTATTTTACATCTATTTGTTAAAAAACATATGCCAAGCAGCTTTTAACCTTTCAACAAAAATTTTAATCAATGTTGACAAGAAACAAACCATAATAGAAGCACGGCTGTTTTCTTTTGACAAGTGTATCATAAGAAAAAGAAATTTTTGCTATTGAATTTATCCATACCTGTACTACTTTTCCCTTTACTGTAATTTTCTTTTTTGCAGGGGAACCAAGGGCATCCTTCACAGATTTTTCCTCTGCTGGGGGAGGGTTGACGATTCTGTCAGCTTGTGTATCATGTGCCGAAGGAACTTCCATCGGTGCCCCCATGAAAACTTTTGAGTTTTTTGTTATAATAATGGTTCTAATCCCATCTTCTTCCCTTCTAATTGTTTCTCTAGTAACAATAGTATGTCCAACCTACCAATATAGAAAAATTACAAACTGTAAATCAACATGTTTCAAAATGGTAAAAATATTATAGGTATAAAGAAACAACAAATATTGATGCTCAAAGCAATGTTTTTCAAACAAACAGAATAAAATGTATTCTTATAAATAATTCCTTATAAATAACTTGTCTGTCTCCTATACAAGTGATGTTACAAAGTTGTCATTGGCTATCATTACTTTATATATTAAAGATAAAGAAATATGCAAAATTGTTTCAATAGTTTCATATATAGTGACTGTAAGTATACTGTGAATGGTTATTTGGCACAACAAAACAAAGATAGCCTATTAAAATTTTCAACAACTTTCGAATGTCCTATTGTGTTTTGTTTCTTTCATTTTATGCCTTTTCTAACAGTATTTCAGTCATATAGGCGGGTAGTTTCCTAACCATCGTTCCTGTAGAGTTACACCAGTACTAGACTACCTTCCTCCCTGCTAAACTACCAAAGCATCTCCCAGGGATCAAACCCACACAAGAGAAGTAACTGGATTAGAAGCCATCAACTCTTAACACCTCAACCACGGAGGCCGTTAGGTCCTATTGTCTTGATATTTGAATATTATTTATGCTCTTTCCAAAAAAGTCAAAGCTTATTCTTTACCTTCATGTATTTAAACTTGGCTGGATCATACACGATCAGCTTGTGGACACAACTCCCATCACTTACTCCTACTGTCATACTTTGTTTTTCTTCCCCATCTTTCCTTGTGTATGAAGTTGGTTGACCACATGACAGTACTTTAAGTTTTTGCGCCAAGCTGTAGGGTCCTTCACTTGTTCTTTCTATTTGATGTACTTGCCATCTGAAAAGATTTAAATTGATTAATTTATGTCACATTATGCATCAGAAATTCATATTTTTTATTTTAATTAATTATGTACATATGTCAAACATGTGTTCAATAATGTTTTAATAAGGGATTTAGAGCATGTTAAAGTTAAACTAATGAAGAAAGTAGGCTGAATATGCAGTATTTTGTCATAAAGGGAGTAATATGTTAACAAAGCAGTAGTTTGACTTCATGATATACTTATTCAGTGTAACTATACCAACTGCCAAAACTAGAAAGCACAGGACAGGACATTCGACCAATATAATTTTAAATTCTTGGATTCGGTGATCTATATCTGGAAGGTAATAAATTAATGGGTAAAGGAAAACAATCATGCTTCCCTTTGAAAAATTTGAAAGAAGCAATTTACTAATTTACTTCTTGTATTCTTTGTCATTTGTTGAAAACTTTAGACTTTTTTTTAAAGACCCAGAGTTTAAGCACAAGAGACTTAGTTAAACTTTACAGATTAATATGGATGTATAAATGAACAACACTATCAAATCTGAAGTTTCAGGAGTCTTTTCTTTCTCTCTGTTTTAGAATTTTGAAGACATTTTGTATTGGTAGCAAGAATAAAATAGTTTAGACATTATTTTGGTTCTATGAAAGATATCTAGTAGAATTATGAAAATGAAAGTATCCATGTTACCTGTTAGTCTATCATTGAAATTTTCGTCCTCAGTCCAACAATCAGGTTCAGCATTATCATCACTTGTAGTCTGTCCTTGATCTTCTTTGCAAAAGGCTTCTTGTGGCTGTTGGAGCCACTCTTCATTGATAACAATACCTACACTTCTGAACAATGCACTGTTGCTAACAAGCTATTTGGCAGCCTCAAAAACTTTATTTGGGCGTATATTTTCAAATGCAACATGATGCTTATAGTCAAGCTTGCGTTTCAGTTTTAACATAATAGTTTCATCATCGCTAAGCAACCTTGGCAAGGCTTTAATGGTGGAGTTTATATCAGCTGGAACATTAACAACATTACCTCGCAAATTTAACTGGCCTCCTCTTGGCATTTCACGTAAATGCATAAAGGGAGTCTAGGTGAAACTAATCTTTCCTCTAAACTGGACAAATTTTAGTCCATTATGTAACCAAAACTTTGGAATTTTCCCTTTTTTGAGAGATTTCCAGCAGGTCACACATACCCATTGTATCTCATTTACACTATGTATATCAGATAAAAAACTGTTGTCTTGTTTCTTTAGACAAATTTAAGGCATTTTTAACATGATGTTTAAAGAATGTTTGGGTGCAGGAAGAGCATATAAACTCTGGTCCAACTGAAACAAGCCTGTGAAAGTTTGCAATAAGTTTGCTTTCGTTATTTAACACAGGACAGTCATCAGCCACACATTCAAGAGCCCTTTTTCTAGCAGTCTGAATAAACCTGAAACCAAATCTAGGATGGAATATTTCAATAGCATACTCAGAATCAATGTTCTTTGACTTTTTCATAAAATCAAAATGATGCAAATCAAACTGAACCTCAAATAGATCTTTCTTAAAGGAAATGACCAGAGAGCGGAAGTAAGAACACAGATCACTTAAGGAATATAAAATGCCAACAACATTATTTCACCTACAAAATAACATATGAAAAAAATTACAAAATCTAACAACAGAATCACCACTCAATATATAGCAACAATACCTAACTACAACAGAACCAAATCTCGCATGGCAAAAATGATTCATATACAAAAGTTATAAACTTTCACACATCGAAATGATTTTCATGATTTATAGTAATTGTAATGACTAGAACAAACTAAAACTTGCTACTATCACATTTAGTTATTGCAAATTACTGTTTTTCAAAACACACATGATATGATGAAAGTACTTATTTCTATGGCGATTCTTTTGAAATGCTGATCCATGTGTCAAAACAATAAATTCAAACAGTCAGCAGAGTTCCATGCTTAGTTTGCGATGGGAATGAACACATATTTCTGAAACATCTGCTATCTGAACTGGGTAGAAACAAGAAGATACAACAATCTGTGACATTTACGCATGTGAATTGATATATTGAATCATCGCCTTTATATGTACATAGATATATCGACACAAAAATTTTAAACAATGACATCCCTATCTGAGATTACCCTCCTGTCCAGTAAATTTCTTTTAAAGTTTCAGTAAGACTGTAAAATGCACTGAAGACTTTCAATGTCTTTAGGTAAATTATATCAGCACGAGTGACCGCATCATCAATGACGTAACAAGTTCAGTCAGATCTTTGATCTCGGATTTTAACAACAAAACTTCACTTGCTTGCCCGGTAGACTATCTTCTTTGAAAAAATCACTAGCCCGCGGCAATTTTAACCTGGCGCGCGGGCAAGCTGGCGTTTGCTTAAAAAAAGAAACCTGAAATGCGAGTACATTGCGTTAGCACCCAAAAACAAGAGATCCCAAGGGATCTTGGCGCCCGCAAAAGAGTGATCTTTTGAGACAGTTTCTTTTACTTTACTTTCTGATCTTGACCTTTGTACTATTCATCCAAAAAACGAAATAGGTTTCAAAGTACACACATGAAAATTTCAAATGTTTAAATAATAACAACGATTCATTTCTAAAAACCTTTCTAGGTTCAGCACCTTGCAGAAATTTACCGTAATCTGGCATTAAATTTAGCCCATTTTGGATATAGTTAATGACAAATTATACCATGTATGTCCATCTACGGATAGAAGTTAGCAGGTTGGCATTTCAAAAATGTTTAACAGGCCATAATGACCTTTTGTGATTGGATATTCAACTTTAAGACATTTGCACACAAAATGCAGCACGAGCTGTTGTTCAATCATGACTAGGTGCTTTCACTCCGTATCACTTTTGTTGTACAAGTTCAACTGACCGGGATTTAAAATCAATCTGCCAACTTCACTCCCCTGTCTGATGTACTCTCGCCCCCATTACCGGACCATTGCTACAGGCTCTCCACCTGTAAACAAATGAAGACAGCTTGAATAGACTTTAATGCAGGGTTTTGTGTAAAATTGGTTATTGTTAAAATGTTACAAGACTGCATTACCACTTGCGCCTTTTCCATGCCCTTGTACTATATGACACAACCTCTCATTGGTGAGCACTTTGTGCAGTGCTTATTTTAAATGACCAAACCCATTTGGGGTATTAAAATGCTAAGCAAAAATCCGTACCTAATAAATGTACCAATATTTTTGCATGCTGTTGTGCCCAAAGGAATGGGAGCATCTTTAAAAACAAAATTCTAAAGGAAAAGCCCTTAAAAAGCAAAATGCTTAAATTTTTTAAAATTTCATTTAGTGCAGTCAAGAGTAATGGTGGGGTGTTATTTCTGGTCACCTTTTGGTTTTTGTAACTGAAAAAATTCAAAACATCCGGGACGAAAAAAATTTATTTTGGTTTATGGGGTTTTTTAAAAAAGTTTTGCCCGGAAAGGAGGGCCCTGTTAAGGGGGCATTGGTTTTGTGGGGGGGAGTTTCGGGATTTATCATTTATATTTTTTTTTGAAATTTCCCAAAAATTTTTGAAAATTTAAAGGGATAGGGAGAGAAATATTTAAATTGGGGAAATTTTAAAAGGGAACCCGAAATAGAATTTTGCTGAATTGAAACGAAAATTTTTTTCTTTTTTTAAACCTAATCTTGCTCGTTCACAAACAAATATAAAAAATGACACACTTCCCCTACACCAAAAAACCCAAAAAACCCTTTGTTTTAAACCCCTTTTTAAAAAGAAGTTTGATGCAAAAGTAGGGTTTTTAAAACCCATCCAAAAAATTTAGTACTTTTTTATAAATTTTCCCAAATTCACCCCAAAAAGAAGGAAAAAAAAAAATTTGGGAAAAATTTTTCTTTTCATAGTGTGGGAAATTTTGATTAGTTTTTTAAAAAGGTGTCTTCCCCAAATTTTTCCCCGGGTTTAAAAGTAAAGTTTCTTTCCTATTAAAGAAAATATAAGTGCCACTTTAAGTGTTTTTTAAAAGGGGCGGGGGTCCTTGTTTTTTTAACCCCGGGGGTTTTTAAAAGTAAATTTTAAAACCCTTTCCCCCCCTTTTTTAATATTTTATAAATTAAAATTTGAAAACCATGGATAAATTTTGGTTTTTGGGAAATGAAACTCCTTTTTTTTTTCAAATAAAAAGTAAAAATTACCACCCTCCCCCCACTTTGGAAAAATTAAAGCGCTTTCCTTTAAAGTTCAGCTTTCTTTCTTTTCTGGGCATTCAATCTGGAAATGTTTATTTTGCCAGCCAAAAAAAAATATACCCCAAAATCCCTTGTCCTTCATTTTCAAAAATTTCCCGCAAGTCAGGGAGGGACTTTTTAGATCACGGGGCGTCCTTTCCCAAAACAAGGTACATTTAAACATCCCCTATATCTATCCTTTTACGGATATGACTCCCCTTCAACAGGGGGTTGGGAAAAAAGTAATGTGCTGGGGTTAAAAAGTGGGGAAAGCTAAAATTATTTTTGTATTTTATGAAAGTAAACAAAATTTTCCCGTTTGGTTAAAAATTAAAATCAAAAACCCCAATTTCAAATGGTCTTTCCCAAAAAAAATTTCTACACCACTTTATAAATTGCACGAGGTTTTTAAATCTTTTGCCCCAAAAATTTGTTTTATCCCCCCAACAGCACCTGATTCTCAAAAAATTTAAAAAAAAAGGGGCCCCAAAAAGCCAAAACCCCCCCTTTTCAAAGAAACCAAATTTGACCGGCTCCATTCTATAATTTACACTTAATTAATTTAACAATTTTTAACATTTTGTTTTAATGGAAAAATTAATCATTAAAAATTTTTAAGGTAAAAATTTAAACTCCTTTCCAAAATGTTGGCCGTGCCCTTAAAGGTAAAACCCGGTGTTTATTAAACATAGGTTGGGGGACTTTAAAATGGTAAACCCAAAGGGGGCCCCGGTTACTCATGCTCTTGCGCCACAAATGCGACCCTTTGGGCCCCCCAGAAAACCTCAAACGTTTTTTCCTCATTGCCCGTTTG